AATTTGTGCAAGCGCTAAAGCTTCCCTGGCCCACCCACCCCCCATACAAACCGCATCGTGAGTAATCTCGATGGTCGGATGAGTGGACAAACAAACATGTGATCGTGGTGAACCCGATTTTCGGCCTCACGATGAAATCGTTTCCAGTAATTTGTGTTTTTATTTTATTTTATTTTCCCATGACAATTTTATTCCCAAGTAGTGATATATATTGAGATCTATTGGCATGAATACTAATCTCTGAAAACGAGTTTGTTCGCCACTCTGTTGTTTTGTTAGTAATAACACTTCCAAGTGGCAAGAGTGCACGTTCAGCCTTTCCCTTAGACTAAACTGTAACCCTCTATCCAAAGTGAACTCAAGTACCTGGGAGTTATCACTAAGGGTAATCTTTGGCGTTATACTCATTCACAACTGTATGGGAAAATTGAAATAATTCTACTTTAGCTATAAAAAAACTCAGGCAATTCCGAACCCCATAGTCAGTTTCGTCCTCTTTCGTTCACTTACGCGTTTGCAAACTTCACTATATTACTCCTCTGTAATATTTCTCGGCTATTGAAATACTTTAGAACCGTTCCTCATGGTTTGGTGATAATCAGTAGTGTGTCCTTCATCGTAGCTGATTCATTTTTAACAGAACTAATCAGTGGTCATATCAATTATTATATTGATTTCACCAATAATATTGTAGACGTTCACAAACTAATCCTTTCGGTATCCACCCGCGGGTATTACCATTTATTTCCATGGACCCTGTGTGGTCTGGTTCCTACCCAACAGGGAAGAGGGAGTTAATGAATTACGTCAGAATTTGCGTGAATAAACCAAACTTTAAAGATATTTTTCACGTTGCGTACTTTCTGAATTTGGTGCGAAGACCAGTGTACATTTTTAAATGAAATGTACCCCTTTAAGCGTGCATAAGCTATGATAATACAAAATACAAATAGTACATTGTCTGCCTTAAATAACTGTGAACAGCAATTCCTCAGGACTATTGCATTCTGCTTTTTGTCGCACAACGGTGCGCAATAAAAAGGGGCCAAAAAAAACTATATCAACACACAGAACATTACCTGAGCAAGGAGGAGCGAAATTTGTACAGACGACTGAAAGCCAAGAAAAATCGCACAGCCCACAAATAGTAGGTTTCGTCATTTTCCTGCGTTGCATGCCTGGTCAGGGATGCTTTGGCTGCATGCATCAGAGGGTTGTAGCAGAATTGTAAGAAGTTCCAACAGAAGCGCTGTAACAACCCGGGGGGGGGGGCAATATAAACCTCCGACTGAGAAATGAGTTCGGTGCACAAATTTAATAGCAGATCAAAGTCACTGTAAACAAGTTCCACAGGCAAAAACAACTTTTCCTAGTTTTGTTACGGATCAGTGAGAACGATGCATGAATTCGCCAAGGGTTATCCGAGTGTGCAAAGTGGAACCCAACCGGGGGAAAAACAAGCCGAGTCGAGTGGAGTAATTCACCCTATACTGAAATCCATGATTTCAAAACACCAATTCTTCATAAACGAAACCCCTCTCATGTGGCTGCTCATTGGAAAGTGATTATTCATAAGGTTTGTGCTGTCACGCCTTAGCAGACTGAAATTCCTCGGTAACTTAGTTTCGACAGCTATACGCACGATATGGGTAGAACATGGCTACGGGCAGCAGAACGAAGTGTAATATGGTAGCAATGCTTATCGATAGTGGTAATAATCGTGGTTCTAAAATCATACAGTAATAATAAAGCATAAAAGGTGACTTACAGCCAGATGAGCAACCAAATTACAGGATATCAGTAACAGTTCGTGACAGCAATGGTAGGAACAAGGTCTACCCGGCAGACTGCTAAGCGTAACAGTAGCGCAGCAGTGAAATTCAAATGGGAAGAGGTTGCGGTACGGTATAGAAAGGGCTTACAATACACTTTAGTTCCGGAATAAAATGACAGAGAAGGAAATTACAATGGATTGGAGTGAAACGTAGTAAACGCTAGCAAGTTGGAATGCGATACAAAGAGGCAGTGTTGATCAAACGCATGCGTATCAGAGGGCAGTATTGACAAAGGCAGTAAACACTCAGTTGGTAAGTGCCTGTGGTGTGGGGATAGCATCGGTATCGGCTGTGGGGTGGCCGATGGTTCAAGCCCAGCTGGCGGCTGGTTTTTACTCGCAGAACAAGCGATCAGAAAAGTTTTATGCCAATGAGAAAACGTGACCTTATGAATAAACAGTTAGAAATCACAGCATTAAAGGTCCAGTAAATACGCTAGCAGAATATATAAATTTCTTGAATATAGACGCCATGGGATGCACGAAAAACGAAAGTCTAACTGTCGGGAAAGTAAACTCTGTATGCTACTCATGAGTAGCCAAATGGATACAGGGGAAGAAACATCCAAATACGAGTAGTAATTAACAAGGTTTATTTTGATTCAGGTGTCCGAAACAAGCTAAGTTCCTAAACGGCGAAAAACCGCTCGATATACTTATCCTAGTGGGTGTTTGTATACCTAAATAATTCAGCACAGAGAGAGCAAAAACGATTAATCACGGTCATCGGAAGATAATACTAAACGATAGAGTTAGAGTGAGCACGTGTGGTGTGTGGGTGTGTGCTTAAACCGTTGGTAAAGAGCATCAAAATCGGATTAATTAAGCCCACTGAAAACCCTTCCAAATATGATTTTAGCATATACAAAAAAAAATCTGTGAGTCTTTATGCATCTATATTCAAACCAAAAACAAACTTGCTTCAGATCATTGAGATCTGAGGTGCTATCCCCGAATGTATTGGTATTCAAGACTTTTGACCGATACACTGCCGCGTCAAACTGAAATATACCTCGGCGGTTGTTTATTAACTTAATATCCAAATGTTTGGTTTCGTTTTAAATCGATTAAATACGGAGTGTATCAAAACCGTTCTTTATCCGTAAATAACCTCCTCTTGAAGGAGCAGTTGAAAAACTGGTTAGACCTTTAAGTCCGATAGCATGTGGTCCCAAATCAGTCGCGAAGAGAACCGTGTCATACTCAACAACCGGCCAGGGTTCGATATAGCTGTTAGATCTACCTATCGTCTCACAGAGAACATATGAAACACACTGCTAACCGTAAAGAATTCTGTTCAAATCAGATTATTTCATCGTCAATTCTTACACAAAACCGAGGTGCGTAAACATAGTAAACCCATTAAATTGCTAAACTGCATTTTTCATTCAATGTGTGTCGCTGGTATATTCCGGGAAACTCATTAAAGTTGAAGGATTTTCGGATCACATCTTACTGGTGAGAATATATATATATATGCACATTCATATTTCATAGGTCTTAGACACCAAGGTATTGTTAACAGTTGCAACTGCATCAAGAGCATATTTTACTGTGTAGTCTTGTTTGATCCTATTTCGAACGATCAGCTATCCGACAGCATAATGAAAAAGGTTTTTCCTCGGTAAATTTGCAAAGTAGATGAATAAAAGACTAAAAGTCGAATAGTTTCGTGTTGTCGTGGAAACACATTGGGATCTGAACTTCAACATACAGACTGATGGTGTACTTAATACCAAAGTAGTTAAAGATTACGGAACTTTGCGGGCGCTAGGCTACCCGAATTAAAGTATGAAACTACAGACAACAAAGATAAAGTCATCCTTCTCTTTTGTCTACATCGGATATTCGCCTTTGGGCGCCAAATTCTGTTCAACTGAATTCACCAACCACTGATTTTGATTAAGAGCGATAAAACCCGCATAACTGGGACTAAGTCCATTGGCTTGAGCTGGTTATTTCTGAACCTGTTTTTATTTTGCTGACCAAGGATACACTGTTTTGAATCCTCAACTGCGAGAACCTTCTCTCCGTACTCTCTAAAAAGTGCAGATGAAAATATTATCCAATATAAATCATCCAGTAAAATTCGTAGGTTTGTAGACGCACAATGAATACTGTGTTGGGTTGCTGGCTCTTTTACGCAAAAAAATGTACGATTAAGAAAGATCCTGATACGAAGCGAATTCTAGACAAGGTGTGAACATACCTGCAGATAAAGTTGTATAGCGAGGATAGACCTGCGATGCACAGGGCGGTCGATAATGGGTTTTCGGTGTTTAGGTTTCCGAAATTTACGTTTTCCCATGTCTAAATCGACCATTTCCAACCGTTCCTCGACCTCATTTATGGGATTACGAGATTCCGTCTCAGCCGGGGTTTGAGTGTTTAGTGCTTGTCGTGCTACATCGTGATGATAGATTAGCGGACGATTGGTGAGGGACGACGTATTTAACAACTCAAAAGTGCCTCCAAAGCGATTTGATCTACAGGTAAAAGAGATAAATCAGTTTATTCTGAGAAGCAAACGGGAGACACTTGCGGTAGATCCATGATACATTTGAACGTGATAGAATATGAAGCATCAAAATCAGAACTGTGCGAAAGAAGCATCAACTATTGCTGGTGACCTTGTACTTCATCATTGATGTATTGGAGAGTTTCAGTTTAAGTAACCACTAACCATGCACTTTCGTGCAGCTGCTTTGCTTTCTTTCTTTTGGTTGTCCACTTGCATGAACGGGTAGAAGGAACATTGAAATGTCGAAGGCAGTGTCGATGTAAAAAAGACAACTCCTGTATACTAAGGCTGCAAGGACTGTTACTAACCATCGGTGACGTTAATTACAGGGTTGTAATCTAGGAAGCCAAACTCGAAGTACACGACTGAGCCCAGTGGTCAAAGCTTCCATATCCGCACAACGGATCCCCATTTTACCACCATCTACTTTTCCCACCCTGTCTCACCAATCATCGTGCACCGTGGCAAACTATTTGATGACATGCGTAATATA